AGCGGATGATTTTCTTAGGAAGAGTGTCTGAAATGAGTCACTGAGGGGATGGTTTGCATGGTGACCTGTTTTGGAAGCCCAGGACCATTGCGAGCATTGCTGCCCAGGAGGTGGAGGGAAGTGGGCTTGACGAAGCGGACTGGCCACGACACCCATGTGCAGCACGCGAGTTTCGCCTCGTCGATCATCGTAGTGCGCCGCGAGTGGCGACTATGAGCAAAGTTTCATACTAAGGTCAACAGCTGCCGTCCTGGCGCTGCTTTTACCCGGAGGAGGCGCTCCCTCCCCCACTCTTACAGCATCCGTTGCATGCAGCCATAGCTGTGCTTGCGGCGAGCAGGCATCTTCTTGTTGCGGTACTTTCACTGAGGCGCTGAAGGTCGAGAAGCGTCTTCTAAATTTTGCCTCTGGGTAATAACCATCCAGGCAGTAGCCTGCCGCGAAAGCGACGTCTGTCCTCCATCTCTTCTTGCCCGCTCCCCCGAGTTTCCTTCGCCTCGGATCATCTAGCTTGGGAGACGAATAGCGGGAGGGTTCGTCAAGGTACAATATGTACTCCGTTTTCACGCGTATGTGGGAGCGAAAATCACGTTTTATGGGAGGGGGGAGGGATGCCATATTTGTGGCTTTACACCGATTTTACTTCTTGTTGTACATCTATTATTGTTAATGCTGTTATTAGTAATGATAGCAAGGGAGTACTGCGTCGTCGCGTTATCTAGCAGCTGGCGGCTTCTCTTCTCTGTCTCATCCACATAATCCCGTGTAACCGTTCAGATGCATCCATCCAACTCATAGGGTTTTCCTCATGCGCCCTCTTAACATTACGCTGGCACCATTCAGTGACCTGCTTAGGGCCAGTCGGAGCTGCAGTAGTTTGTTGAAGCTGCGCTGCAGCTTACTGACACTTTCCTCCCTCCCTCACCCTCTTCCCACCACTACCCTCCCCACATTCTGTGGTTCCTTGGGCCGTCGCTATTAACAATAATAACTGCAGTTATAAGCATTGCGTTATTGTTTTTTATTATAATTACTGTTATTATAACGATTGCAATAACTACTGCTATTGTTTTTATCAATTATTTTTTGCGCAGACGCATAGTATAGCACTGAATGCTTAATACAAAAAAGAAAAAGTGGCCATTGGGAGGGTTTCCCAAAAGTGGTGGTAGCAGCTGGAGGCAGGCAGAAGTAGCTGCAGCTCATTAGGCATCAGATGCACCGATAATTAAGCGATCTTGCTTCTCCAAACGTCCTGAATCGTTTATGTTCAGTGAATGGTGCTGGTTTTTGCTGTATGGGTTCGAGCGTTACGTGCTTGGCTGTGGATTTCGAAGAAAGTGGCTGTATTGTTTTTCTTGCCGCAGCTTTAAAATTTTGCCGAGAATTCAGGGTTGAAACTATTGTTCCAGTTCTTTTTAGGTAAGCAGACGGGGAGCAATGTTGTCAATGATAAATCGTGTGCTGGATTGGATCCGCAGCTTGTTTTGGCAGGAGGAAATGGAACTTACGCTTGTCGGACTGCAAAATTCCGGGAAAACAACTTTCGTCAATGTCATCGCAGTACTTTTTCAGTGCTGTTAATCCACTGTTGGCTAATTTATCATCTCGCGTTTGGCATAAAAAAGCAAATTTTGCAGAGTGGAATGTTCACTGAGGATATGATTCCAACAGTTGGCTTCAATATGCGTAAAATCACGAAGGGCAATGTCACGATAAAGGTAGGCCGAAATTATTTCTCTTTCAGTGCTATTAGGTGCCATTATCTGATAACATTTTGCACTTTTGGGGAACAAGCCTGGCCAACTGTTAGCTTTAAGTTTTGTGCTGCTACGCCATGCCAACAGAGCATGCTTTTTGACTCTCTTAGTTATTTACATTAACATTTTTTTTTTTTTTTAAGTTATGGGATATTGGTGGACAGCCGCGCTTTCGTTCTATGTGGGAAAGGTACTG